TTATCATGTGTACACGTTTTCTGTTCAAAAAGAAAAATTATTACTTGTATGTTGTTTGTCGCCTTTAAAACTTCATGTCCGAGTTTATTGTTAATTGAATTTGCATAATAACCGTAAATACGTGATCCCGTAGTCAAAATACTGAAAGCACCTTACCTCGAAAGCGCCAGTGCTCACAGTACAAAAAAAAAGGCGGCGATTTATGACGTCATACATTTCCCTGGGATACTGCGGCAGAATACTGGCAGTCCCATAATGGAACGAATTTTTCACCAGCGGGTCTAGCATGGATGGGAGACAATTTTATACCCAGGGGAAAGGAGAAAATGTTTATCCCCTCACTTAGTTTTATCCTCCCTTGGTGGATCCAGCATGGGCACATCAGTGAATATAATATCCGCAGTAGATAAAATGAAGATAAACTTATCCCTGCAATTATTGCCATTATAAGAAAATTCCAAAATACTTCAAAATTGATGTTGACTCTAAGTCACAAAATCATTATTTTTTTTATCTGTGCTCGTGGTTTCGACACTTAAAAGTTTTCGTCACAAACAATCTAATAAGAATTGTAGCGTTATTTTCGTTTTCGTCAAATAAAATTGACTCTGAGAGGTGAATATATTAAAACGAGCTCCAAAAAGTAAGTACTATCACATAAAATGTTGTAAACTAACTTTTGTTTATAATTTTTTATTATAATTTTGTTTATAACTTTTGTTTGAAATATTGAAAGAATACCCACATATTTTGATATTCTTTAGAATTCTAAAGAAATCTAACGACTTTTTAAGAGATTTTTTAAGTAGTAGAGCCCAGCTACAGCTTTGCTATCTATACACAGCTGCAGCACATGGGTCGGATCAACCGTGACGGGACCACGCTCTGACATAATACCAGCGTAAAACAGCAAAAGAGTGCGGAGAACCGGTGACCCTTTTTACAAGTAACGAGCCATTCCATCTTAAGATGACATCTGTAATTTGATTCTTAAGTAGACGTGTATAAGTCACAGTATCCACTTACCATTATGCGTGCTCGTTTGTCACTCTTATTCTATAAAAAAAAGAAACATCGATCTTACTCGATGTATCATATATCGTATAGGTGTCATTAATGTGCGGCCGGCGACGAGGTGCAAAGCGCATGTGCAATTCCCAGCTAGCCCGGGCGAGAGGTTCCGGAAAAGGTGTGAGTTCTGAAAAGTTTGAGAACCTACTTCCAGTCCATATTGTATACATATTATCCAATTGTTTACATAGTATCCAATTGTTTTGTAATCGCCATAAAGCGCGTAATTCACACATTCATTATTACATCTTAATCGATATTCTTTTCATGCGTCACATCGCGTAAGTGCATCTGGGCAAAAATGTACAAAACGCATTCATAATATGTACTCTTAATAACACTAACGGTGGCCCGGGAAATGACGTCACCTTTGAATAGTTTGAGAGGTTTCAGTTCTTGATATTGATTTGCTAATTGCGAAAGAATTTGAATGTGATAGTAACGAGTCGTTAGAACATCTTGGAGTGTGCGAAGTTGAATTATACTTTGTTGTTTTAATATAGGTATTTTGCCTGCTCTTTCTTGCCTGTTCTTTTTAAAATATTATTATATGTAGTGACTTTTACACAGGGTGACGAAGGTGCTCTCTTCATAAACCTAACTATATTTCCATTAACAGTCCACAGCTGGTCATATGCCACGCTTTAAGGCGGGTCGCAACCGCAGTTTTTTAATTATTTTGATATATAATCACTAAGATGCTGTTGTTATTTCAGTTTCTCTCTGTTGCCTCTTACGAAACACACGGGACGATGGCGGTGTGACAATATCCATTACCCTTATACTTAGACCGCGTTTCCACCTGCAAGAACAGACGCGGAGGTTTGGCATAAGTTTCTTGCAATACTGTTTACGTATCGTATATACCAGTGCGTATTGCCAGTGATGATCTATGGAAATGAGACGTGGTCCTTCACTGCTGGCCGGATGAGGAAGCTCAAGGTCGCTCAGCGAGCTATGGAGAGGGCTATGCTTGGAGTTTTTCTGCGAGATAAACTTAGAAATGAGGATATCCGCAGTAGAACCAGAGTGACCGACATAGCCCAACGGATTAGTAAGCTGAAGTGGCAATGGACCGGCCATATAGCTCGAAGAACCGACAACCGATGGGGAAAATACGTGCTCGAGTGGCGGCCTCGTACCGACGGACGAAGTGTAGGGCATCCTCCCACGAGATGGAGTGACGACCTGGTAAGACATGGAGGAAGTCGATGGATGCAGGTGGCTCAGGACCGTGTTTTGTGGCATTTGATGATGATAATGATGATGATGATCGTATACATTCTTGCAATTTATTTCAGCAATAAATATATTGTGAGAACCTCGCCAATCATACTATCGCAACTCATCGCTGAGGTATTTACACAGGAGAGCTATAGATGTCGCGAGGGCTATGGCAATTTAGTTTACAGTGTTGTTGCAGGTGGAAACGCGACCTTAAACCGCCGCTATACGGTCTCGGATGTAGGGGCGGTCAATATAGACTTAAATATACCTAGATCAAATATAGTTAATCAATATTGACGCCTTATGATTTGAATCTTATTTTTATTTTCGGTACATTTCACTAGAAAAACCTTGATTATTGCTATAGATCGTTATTGTTTATTATTAATTGTTATTAAAATCAAATTAAGAAATGAGAAATAACAATAACTGTACTCTTGATTTACGGGTTTAGAGCTCCCGCAGACATACAATTATAAGTTGGCCAACTATCGAACGACTAAATTGCGTACTTTTGTAATTTAATCGACCAACTTTCTTTTATTGGTTACCAGCCGCAGACTTAATCGACTTAGTCCGTGATAGTGTTGCTAGCGCGGTGCGTGTGCGTGATAATGCGAGAAAAAAAGACGCTCTAATTGCATTAATAATAAAATGAAGACGAAAACAAAACAGAATTTTGGGTGCAACCTTTTTGAAAAGAACTTTTTTGTACAACGCTGGCCTTTTTTGCATTTCATTTATGAGCTCTTCTACTTTTTCGTTTGCAACAAATTATAGGGTGGCAGATGTCGCACCCGTCGGCGAAGGCCCAAGTCCGAGCGTGGAGAAATTACGCGCGCGCGTCGGTTCGTCTTGCATGTTGCCGTGCGACTATCCAACAAAGTTGGATAGTCCGCGAGCTTGCATAGGGTAACCGTGCAACGAGCAGTTGGCCGATAGTTGGACAACTTTTTAATCTTGATTGGATGGAAGGGAATCTTGATTCTGATACGATCGGTGTTCAATTAATTGGACGATTTAGTAGGACAAGATGTGTGGGCTAGCATATGTCACTATACCTATTGGTATACTCTGCGATTTAGTCGGCCAACTTATAATTGTAAATCTGCGGTCTCTCTAAAAGTTTCAAATTAGATTTACAACAGATATGAAAATGAAAATCATCTCAAGGATTGCCAGTTAGTCTTCTTGTATAATATTTATTATATAGTTTTCTATTTAGAAATTTTGTATTTTTCTTTCCAAGTTTATCTAGATTGGATTCTAGGAGGATTTATCCTTTAGATAATGATATTTCTTTCGAATGCAAAACTTATTCGAACCTGGGTGATACCTAAGGATGGTTTGGATTACGCGAAATTTCTAAAAAACCTCAGTACATCAGTGGCTAACGTGATTTATCGGTCCAGTACAGTAGTTGATGCACTCCGATCCTCATAAAGTCGCATACGCGTCCTGCATTATGGTGGAACTGCTATTAACCTTGCTAACTGAATCTAGATTATTTTATTTAGTAATTTAAGAACTGCATTGTTAAAAGCGCTACGAAAGTCACTCGCTGATCAATCAAACTCAAAAAAGTCAATATACTTAATTAATATTTGATAAAAAACAAAAAAAAAACTTAGTTTTTAGTTGGCCTGCGAATAATACCCGACAAAAATAAAATAAGTTACCTACAAACTTTAAACTTTATTTGTATATATATCTTTATATATAAAAATTACGTGTCACATTGTTTGTCTGCGATGTACTCCTAAACTACTAAACTGATTGTAATGAAATTTTGCACACTGTGTGCAGTTTGGTTTGGTCCAACTTGAGAGATAGGATAATTTTTATCCCTATAAGTGACCCTCAATATTTTTTATTACGAATTTAAGAATTTTTATAGAACACAGGGTCGTTGGAGAGGGCAGAACAACGTCTGCCTGGTCAGCTAGTATATATATATATATATATATATTATAGGATAAATCCACCTGATGGTAAGTGGATGCTGTGGCCCGTAGACATCTACATCTATCCTCGATTAAGAATCAAAATGCAGATGCGCTGTAACCCCTAAGGATTAAGATGGAAGGCCTCATTTCCAGTAAAAAGGGTCTTCGGTTCTCTACACTCACCATATGGAACACAGCAGCATTATGCTGCTATTTTACGCTGTTATTCTGTGAGAGCGTGGTCCTTTCCCGAACGAGCCACCTGTTCGTGTTACAACTATATAGCTGCGGTGCCTTAATTGCGTCAATGGATTTTAAAAAAAGATTTTCATTCAATGTACATTACAAACATACTTAAGTATTGAAAATAATTTATGCTTTTACCGTTGGTCCGAAAAAAACTGTCCAGGGAAGAACCAGCAATAAAGCCAGCGCGACATATTTAATACGAAAACATTTAGAAACACCATGGTAGCGATCACCTCATTTTATCGCCCAGGCGTTAATGTCAATCATGTACTCTTTAGTATCTTAATAAGTCTTATCAAAAATTTTGCTTTTAATAGGTCCTGCATATTTTAATAACTAGCTATGACTAGCATAACCAGCTTAGTTCTTACCGGCACATTGGTTAATAGTTTGGCTTTATAAAGTATAAATAAATCCTAGCCAACGCTGTTATTTTCCTTCTGAATTGTTTTCTTTAACAATGCTATTATACCAATACACCTAAATAAGCCATTTTCTTTGTTCCAGTGTTGTCTCAGTTCCGGAGCCCAGCTTCGGGAAAGTTATCAGATATCCATAGATCCAAGTCAGCCGACGCCGACCTTGGCGTAATGGCTCTAGAACAGGAGAACGGGCCGCTCGCGACTCTCTCCAGAAACTTCCGCGAGCAAATCGTGATGGCTGAGGCAGACGACGACGTGAGTATCCAGCTTCAGAGTGGATTTCTACATATGTTTTTTTTGTTATTCTGTATATTTGATAAAATTTATACATGTTATGAGTTTAGTACGACAAATATATCATTACGACAAAATATATCATTACTAAAATGAAAGAATATACAACCAATCTAGGGTTGTATATTTGTACCAGCTACCCGTCACGGATTCGCTTGGATAAATTATATTAATGTGGTGTTATTTATATTGATGTGAACGGCAGAGTCGTGAAGGGATGCCTTCTACGAAGGTTTATTAACCAAATTGGCAATATATTGAAAATGGGCCAGATTAGGAATACCCTTAACCGACGAGCGTGTGTGCGTAGGTATATGATCGTGCCAAATGGAAGTCCGTAGTCTCTGCCTATCCCTCTGGGTGACAGGCGTGAGTGTTTATGTTTTTTTTATGTATGTTTATGGTATTTAGATTTAAAATAATTGACAAAGACCGTTTATTTTATAATTTTTTCAGACTCGCCTACATTTTATCCAAGTTTTTCGGATAAAAATGTAATCGAGATCACTCCTGGCTTTGCTTTCTATCTGTTCGTGAAGTTTCATTACAATCGGTTCAGCCATTCAGAAGATAAACAAAAACACGAGGGTTGCACTAAAGGTATCGGGAATGGAATATTTCTACTGTTCCTGTCATATTAAAATCTTTTTAATTGAAAACCCCGTGGTTTTAAAAATCGTATACCATTTATTTATTTTAAAAAAGTTTCTCGGTTTTGTCACAAGGTTTTGTCAAACTTGTTTAGTCGTTGAGAAAATGGAATTGACTCGAGAAAATTCAAGAGCGATGATTTATTATGACCTTCGAAGTGGTTTAACACAAAAACAGTGTGTTGACCGGATGATTTCTGCATTTGGTGATGAAGCCTCATCCAAAACCACAATTTATCGCTGGTTTGCTGAATTTCAACGTGGACGTGTCAAGCTCAGTGATGATCCCCGTCAAGGTCGTCCAAAAACTGCAGTCACCCAAGAAAACGTTGATGCTGTGCGTAAGCTGATTGAGGAAGATCGACATGTGACATACCGCGAAATCCAGGCAACTTTAGACATTGGCATGAGTCAAATACAAATAATCTTGCATGAACAATTAGGTGTAAAAAAGTTGTTTTCCCGATGGATACCGCACTCGCTCTATGAAGAGCAAAAAGCGGCTCGCGTTACTTGGTGCGTCAGAACTCTCGAAATATTCCACGCAGGATCCTCAAATGCTATATACAACATCGTATCAGGTGACGAATCCTGGATATACGCATACGAACCCGAAACAAAAAACCAGTCACGAGTTTGGGTGTTCGAAAATGAGTTAAAGCCAACAAAAATTGTTCGTTCACGGAGTGTTGCAAAAAAATGGTGGCCACGTTTGTCTCCAAAACCGGCCATGTTACGACTATTCCTCTTGAGGGACAAAGAACGGTTAATGCAGAATGGTATGCTAACATTTGTTTGCCACAGGTCGTTTCTGAACTCCGTAAAGAGAACTGCAACCGCCGCATCATCCTCCATCACAACAATGCGAGTTCTCACACCGCACACAGAACAAAAGAGTTTTTAGAGCAAGAAAACATAGAATTATTAGACCATCCGCCGTACAGCCCCGACCTAAGCCCTAATGATTTCTATACTTTCCCTAAAATAAAGAATAAATTGCGTGGACAGAGATTTTCATCACCTGAAAAAGCTGTGGACGCCTACAAAACGGCCATTTTGGAGACCCCAACTTCCGAATGGAATTTTTGCTTCAATGATTGGTTCCATCGTATGGAAAAATGTGTCAAATTTCGCGGAGAATACTTCGAAAAGCAATAAATACATTTTTAAATCGTAATGTTGTGTCACTTCCTTGATTCCCGAAATTTGCAGTGCCGCCCTCGTAACACAGACAGACTGGCATTAATTTTAAAATTGATTATGCCTTTATAAACATGCAAATAACCCCATTAGCTTAATATAACGCAGTCATTTCAATGTTACATACAGACACATCTATTTAATTATATACAACATTAAAAAAGTATAATAAAAAAACTAATACTAATAGCTTAATTATCATACAGTCCTACTCCCAGTGGTATCGAGCCAAGAACGCTGGCCGTGTTTCCTCGCTAAATGGCTATACTTAGCCTTTGAATGAAAAAAGGAGCAGCCCAGCGACGACCAGGCGCTGGTAGACTTCCTTTAGGAATTTGAACTAATATCTATTTAATTTATATATTTTTATTCATATTATAAAGTTATATTAAAACTAGAATAACAGAGAAAAAAGGTCTTTGTAAAATATCATTATTTCATAAGAGTTATTACTAAACAACAGAAAAAAATTGCCATGTCATAAAGAAAAAGCTGATTAAGTAATTTGATATTAAATAACGTGTTTTGTTAATTTAATGTTGGCATGATTAATTTTTTTTTGTTTATTACACGTCGTGGCTAGCAGAGTAGAGTAGAGAACGTAGAAATGCGATAAGAGAAACGACAAAGCTATCCGACGTAAAAATATTAAGTCGTATATTTTAACTTTAAAATAGCTGTAACAAAAAAAGTAAATATGGCGGATAAGTTAGATTAAAAATGAGTAAGTTTTTTTTTTTAGTATTAATTTACAATGCCGTATGAAAATCCACCACAATAGGGGAATCATTATCATTCCATGGTAGTCGTAAGAGGCGACAGAGCAAAACTGAAACAGGTGACGATCAGCAGCGTCTTCTTGTTAAGAGTTCACATATAACTGCGGTTGCCAATCCTCCTGTCAAGCGTAGTAATATGGCAAAACCCGTCCTATGACGCCATCTATATGAGAGGCCTATGTTTAACTGTGGACTTATGATAGCCTGTAATGATTCAAAACACTGGAACTAGAATATGCTCCGCAAATTTGATAATTTCAAACTTCTTCCGAAACTATATATTGCAACAGTGGTAGAGCCACGCTGCAGCTGTATTGTGGTTGTAGCACGAATGGGTCGGCTCGACCGGGTAGGACCGCGTTCTCACAGAATACCAGCGTAAAATAGCAGCTTATTGCTACTGTTTCGTATGGTGAGTGCAGAGAACCGGAGACCCTTTTTACTGTAAACAATGTATTCCATCTTAGTCCTCAGTGATGACAACGTAACTGCATTTTGATTCTTAATCGAAAATAAATATAGATGTCTGTTGACCATAGCATCCACTTACCACCTGGTCGACTGTGTGCTCGTTTGTCATCCTTATTCTATGAAAAAAAAAATGTAAACATCATCATACCACGCTAACTGCTAGTCGTTATTAGATAGTGGGGATTAACTTTAGTGATAATAACAACCTTGTTTAATAAAGTCGAAGTAATTAATTTTCCGTGCTGTGGAGTTAACAACATTTCTTTATCAGTAACATATAATATGCTGTATTCACTCGCACATTAGTTATTGGCGCTATAGCTTGAACTTGTGAGTGGCTTATTTCTCTCTGTCGTCTGTTACGACACCCAAGGAATGATATGAGGTAGTGGATACACTCTTACACGGGAAATTTATTCAAAACTAAAAATTCATTTACGTTTCCACAAATGTAAGATCCATTAAACTCGGGAACTATCATACTTTCCTAATCCATGATTTTGCGTGTATGTACGAAATATTGGACTTACGAGTAGTTACTGTGAAATTTACTTCGAACTTTTTTGGTTTGTAGTTATACATTTTTTTTTTGGATGTATCCCCTAAATCAATTATGACGCCTAAAATATTTTTAATAAGTTGTAAAAAGTACGTATTGCACGCCTCATAACGCAAGAGTCATTAAGAGCGCTTAGTAGAGTTACTAAAAGTGCTCTCGAAACGTCAAGGTCAATCAATTTTGTGTTCTTAAAATGCCTCTATCATAACCATATTGCACTTATACTTATTTGTTTTGTGCTTATACAATGATATGAGTAGTCGTATATATATCAAGAAAAAACTCTAATTAATCCATCTTATATTTTCTGAAGAATCATTTTATATCGCTACTTTAAAAAAAAATTGTTTAAAAAAATTATGTAACTCGAAAAAATTAACGTATCGAGACCGGATTTTTTTATTAGCTTCAGAATTACATCAACTGGTTCCCTATTTTACATGAATAGCCTAGTACGCGTTGTTTGTAAATAAAATTATTTTCAACTTTTGTAACTTTTATTGCTATTAAAATTTAAGGGCGCTTTCATATTTTTTTAGCCCTTGATAGACAAAAGGAAAAATGTACCAACAGCCTATATCGAATTTATACTTTGCGTAATCGATTTATTTTGGTAAACATTATAATTTTTTTCCCTGTAGGTGACACTACCTGTTAAAATAATAGAGCGCTAAATTTATACATACATACATATAATCACGCCTCCTGTAGGGATAGGCAAGACCACTTTCCACTTGCTACGATCCTTACATACTTGTTTCGCTTCGTCCACTTTCATTATTCCTTTCATACATGCTCTTCGGTTTAGGGTACTCTTGACCTGGCCTTTTTTCAAGACATCCCTGATTTGGTCTTGCAATGTCCGCCTAGATCTACCTCTTCCAGCACTTTCATTCACACTCGCCTTATACACTTTTTTCGTCAATCGTTCTTCATTCATTCTCTCGACATGGCCAAACCATCTCAGCATACCTTTCTCAATTTTTGTCACTACATCTTCTTTCAGACCACAACGTTTCCTTATCTCACTATTTCTTATCCTGTCACTCAGTTTAACTCATATCATACTTCTTAACGCTCTCATCTCAACTGCATTTATTCTGCTTTCATGTTTCTTCTGCCATACCCAACTTTCAGTTCCGTACATGAGTGTCGGAACCAACACCCCCTCATGCACAGCCAAACGAGCCTTGTTAGACACCTTCCGACTGCTCATAAAGGAGTGCAAAGCTCCATTCACCATGTTTCCTGCATTCACTCTTCTTTCGATATCACTCTCACACTTTCCATCTCTCGTAAACTTTGAACCCAGATATACAAACTCTTTCACCTGTTCAATTTGTTCATCTCCAATCACGATATTGGATTTTGTCACTGCCTCATCTCTTTCAGACACCATAACTTTCGTCTTCTTTACATTCATATTCATTCCATTTCTAACAAAAGCTTCAGTCATACCAGTTACCATCTCCTGCAACTCCTCGGCCGAAGACGCTAGTAGTACTTGGTCAATCAGCATAGAGAAAACATTTGACGAGTAACTCATTCATTCTCAACCCACTTTCATTATCTTTTAAATTTGTCAAGCAATTGTCCATGAACAGATTAAACAACCACGGTGACGCTACACATCCCTGTCTAACACCTTTTTCGATATTAAACCATTCAGTGTATGCCCCGTTTATCCTTACACAAGCACTAGAATCCCTATAAAGAGATTGCAATGCTTGTATGAGGATACTGCTCACACCGTTCACGGACAGTGCTGACCACAATTCATTCCTCACCACTCTATCATAGGCCTTTTCATATATAACACGTAAGTAATATATTTTAAAACTCAGAAATACATATTTAATTTTTTTATCAAAATTAAATGAAACGCTCATGAGACGTGCACTTTTGGATTTTACAAACTATTTAAATATATTTATTTTTAAATTATGCATCATTTGATATCGTCTAACATTTGCCAAGTTGTTATAATGTCATCCATATTAAATTATTAAAACACACGTTATCAATGTCATCATCTTTATCATTCGTTTGTTTGTTAATATGTTATGCTGCAGCGAGTAAGTATTACTCGTATCTTTATCTTTTAAAATATATTTGATCTAATTAATTTTGAGAATAGTTTAATCAATTTTTTTTTCAAATATTATCTTCAAATTTTTTGAATAAAGTATAACCTATATTCCTCCTAGCATTGCTCTCTATTTGATTTCACTGATTGTGATGAAACTTTATGACCAGCCATGCTGCAGCTATATTACTGGTATAGTTGTAGCACGAATGGGTCGGCTCGACCGGGGAAGGACCACGCTCTCACAGAATACCAGCGTAAAATAGCAGCATAACGCTGCTGTATTTCGTGTGGTGAGTGTAGAGAACCGGAGACCCTTTTTTTACTGGAAACGACACATTCCATCTTAGTCCTCACGGGTGTCAACGCATCTGCATTTTGATTCGCAAACGAGGATAAACGTAGATGTCTATGGGCCACAGCAACCACTTACCATCAGGTGGACTGTGTGCTCGTTTTCTCTAATTCTATAAAAAAAAAGTTATTCTGAAGACTAGCCCGTACAAACAGACATTTTTTTTAAATAATGATTATTTATATCTTAATAGCATGAAAATAACAGTTATTTTAATATTATAGACACAGTTCTATATAATATAGTAAAGAAATTAAGAATACACTTAGGTGCATACTTTTTTGGCCTAATACTTAAACGTACTCATTTTTAAGATTTTGTTTGTAAGTTGGCCAACTATCGAACGACTAAATTGCGTACTTTTGTAATTTAATCGACCAACTTTCTTTTATTGGTTACCAGCCGCAGACTTAATCGACTTAGTCCGTGATAGTGTTGCTAGCGCGGTGCGTGTGCGTGATAATGCGAGAAAAAAAGACGCTCTAATTGCATTAATAATAAAATGAAGACGAAAACAAAACAGAACATTTTGGGTGCATCCTTTTTGAAAAGAACTTTTTTGTACAACGCTGGCCTTTTTTGCATTTCCTCTATGAGCTCTTCTACTTTTTCGTTTGCAACAAGTAATCGGGTGGCAGATGTCGCACCCGTCGGCGAAGCCCCAAGTCCGAGCGTGGGGAAATTACGCGCGCGCGTCGGTTCGTCTTGCATGTTGCCGTGCGACTAACCAACAAAGTTGGATAGTCCGCGAGCTTGCATAGGGTAACCGTGCTAACGAGCAGTTGGCCGATAGTTGGACAACTTTTTATTTGTGCGTAATCGGAAGGGAATCTTGATTCTGATACGATCGGTGTTCAATTAATTAGTTGGACGATTTAGTTGGACAAGATGTGTGGGCTAGCATATGTCACTATACCTATTGGTATACTCTGCGATTTAGTCGGCCAACTTATAATTGTAAATCTGCGGTCTCTCTTAGTCTCGTGGTGTCACAGTCACTTTGACTTAAAGTGATAACGACAGCACGAGGCTTAATATTGTTTATAATTTATTTCAATAAGATGTGTTTTATTCGGGACAATCATTCATATGTAAATAATAATAGATCGTAGGCATTACAATTTTTTACAAATTTCATTTGAGAAATCAGTGAGAAACTGTTTCGCAATAAATTAAGAGTATAATACACACTACTCGTCATTGTCGTCGATCGACGTCACTTAAAGACATTATTTTTTAATCGGAATTTGATTTCTAATATCTATCAGCAACATTTTGATCATCATAAGCATTAAAACCTTGTTACAACATCCATTTTTTTCATATGCCTAAATTCCTATTATGGTTTATGTACGGGAATGTTAATCCCAAACTATGGACATCCATTTGTCATGATCCGTACAAATCTCTCGTTTCTTTCACATCCATATAACTACTGTTAAGGGTTAAAGGTACTCTTGGCTCTTCTTTTTCTTGGCCCTTCTTCAATATATCGCCCATTTCGATAATCCAAATTTTCTAAGACTACCCTTGCCCACTTTGCCAATTGCTTTTACAGCGTTTGGTTTGCAACTCTTTCTTCGTGTATTATTTCTACGTGTTCGAACCACCAAAGCTTTCCTTGGCTATGTTATAAAAATGTAACAAAAGCTTATTTACTCTTGCCTTGAAGACACTCAGATTGTAATTGGAGAAACAGTTCCTATGAAAAATACTAACAGACTTGATAGCGATACTACAATATTAAGTTTTACATATGGTAGAGCCATATGACAGCTATATTATGGTTGCAGCACGAATGGGTCGGCTCAAGCGAGATAGTATCACGCTCCCACAGTATACCCGCGTTAAATAGCAGCTTAACGCTGCTGTGTTTCCTATGGCGAGTGTAGGGAACCGGAGACCCTTTTTACTGGAAACGAGGTATTCCATCTTAGACCTCAGGGTTGACAACGCATTTGCATTTTTAAATATATATGTCTATGGGTCACAGCATCCACTTACCACTCTTATTATATACAAAAAAGTATATAAATTTCAGTCCCACGCATCCACATAAATCACTATTTCGTAAACTATTAGATACGAGTATATGAATGCCTTTTTGTATCAAGCAATATTGGTTATTATTATAAGTACAACTACGTAATACTATTATTCATTCTGTGGCACAACACTAAGTTAACGGTGTAGTGACGGGCAAGAATATGCACTACGCCATATCGACCAATAGTTGTACGAGGCGATAGAGGGAAACAAATCAATAGATGATCAGCAACTAGAAATTAAAAACTGCGGTTGCCAATCCGTCTGTAAAGGGTGGCGACTATGGCAACTATGGCAAATCTTGTCCCCCTAATGGGACAATCTATGGGGAGACCTATGTTCAGCAATGGACTTTGATAGGCTGTGTTATAAATAAATGAAAAAATGTAAAAGATTAAATTCTAACCGATTATTTTGTATTGATCACCAGGATCAATATCAGGATGCTGCCGAAGATCCGTCAAAGTAAGTGGAGAATGATATTAATGAATAAGTCAAATATTTGATATTTGTAATTTTCTTGAAAAATTTAAAAAGCTTGAAGTTTACATAGTGTTCGTTAATCTTAATGGTATTAATATTTTCCGTTATTACAATATGCCAGCCTATTTCTACATTTTGGTCGGCAGGTCATGTTGCACCTGAGGATTAAAGTGTAAAGGTATTTTAATCTATGCTTACTGTAGTAGTTTCATCGACAGGTTCAATATGGGTTTGCATGTTGCGTTGGAAGACTGCGAGTTGGCCATCAAGAAGTTCTTTAACAATGATCTCGAGGGCGCTATGGACATCATGAAAGTGTGGTAAGTTGAACTGTCGTAGCTTTCGATGATGATTAATGTCTTCCAGACCGAATTTCGGTCATGGCGGCCGGTCTCAATGGAGACTAGCTGTCTGCCAAAATTATATTATAATGTAAAAGTGTGTGCGCAAGTACAGGTGCACCATTTGTTCTCTTTCCTCACTGTCAAAGCTCGGATTATATTCATTTAACCGAGTCTTAGTGTTACCAAATCTAATGAAGTCATGATTAGTTTTAAAATAATTTAAAACTGTTTTTTTTTCCCTATTTTCATTGTTGGCAATATTTTGCCAAAAAGTAAGTTAACGAATAAAATAAAATAATTATGTAAAGATATAATTAATTTAATTAATTAATTTAATAATTGAAGTGCTAGATTCCGATTAAAATTATTTTTTCATTGTCCTTTTGTATGTATTTGTAAATTAATATTATTTCAGAAATATCTGTTTTGCTCATCCTATTTAACTGATTTGAATTGATAGCTATGACGTCACAATATGGTGCCAGATCAGTCCTATACTTATTTGAATCGCATTATAGAACTAACATTATTTAACAATACATATTAAACATTATTATTCCATTATAAAACTAGCAACTGTCGAATATCAGTTGATGGTTAAAGTTAGAAAGTTGAAATGTTAAAATTTTATACAATTGTCTACTTACTGCACTAGCAAGGGTTATTATACTACTACTCGTAAAGAGTACATGACTGGATAATAACCCCTGGGAATGAAGTGATCTCTACCATGCTGTTTCTAAATGTTTTCATAACAATTTTTTTATATGATAGGTAAGTGGTTGCTGTAACCTATATACATCCACATCTATCCTCAATAAAGATCAAAATGTAGATGCGTTGTCACCCGTGAGGACTAAGATGGAATACCTCTTTTCCAGTAAAAAGGGTCTCCGGTTCTCTACACTCACCATACGAAACACAGCAGCGTTAAGCTGCTATTTTACGCTTGTATTCTGTGAGAGCGTGGTTCCTCCCCGGTCGAGCCGACCCATTCGTGCTACAACTATACTACTAATATAGCTGCAGCATGGCTCTACCACTTGTAAAAAACAATTGTATAAAATATTCTATTGTAGTGCTTTCAAAAAAATTTCGCTGGGTTTCTTGCTGGTTCTTCCCAGGACAGAGGTTTGTTTTCGAACCAGTGGCAAAAGTAAAAAATGACATGCAACAAGTATTACTGTAATCTATATGGAATAAAAATGATTCAATTAAATTCTAGTCCGTTCTAAAGTGTAGTATCTCATCATACGGACATCTAGATCATATTCCTCTCACAGAATACCAGCGTAAAATAGCAGCTTAATGCTGCTGTGTTTTAGAATCAAGTGGACTGTGTGCTCGTTTGTCACCCTTATTCTATAAAAAAATTACCTAGTAAATTTGGTATTCCCTGTGCTGGCGTCACTTATTAAATTATTATTTTCGTCTTTAAATTTAGAATTTTTATCAGTATTTAAACTTGTATCAACTTACTCAAACTTACCTGCTAGGAGCGACACTTCGCTGTACCACAGCTTGGGGGTGTCCATATTCGAGTTCATCCCAGCCGTTCTAACTCTGGACTCCGCGCAAGTGGCTCGTGCTCTGGCTGCACTCAAGCAGACGCTGGCTCTCTGCCACCAACATCGTCGCTCCTACACTTTAGTGGAGACGCTCGGCACCATAATCAAAAAGGTACGTATCACATGTTCTCGAAGTGGTACTATCTGTCAGCTTTATAATGCACAGCTTCTGGACCTCTTTGTTAACCCCCGAGGAAGACGATGACTCGGAAGTGGTCGTCCCGAGATACCTAATAGCACTGGGAGGGTGCTGGGGGTGGTAAGAACTGCCCCAGGGACATTGTTTAATAAAGCAAAGCAACGGTTCGAAAGAAACCGGGGGCGCCGGTTTGGCGCCCTATCTGTTGATTTTCCCACTATAAAAAGACCTCTTTGTTACTCAATGCTAGTACAAGATCGAACATTCGGAGCTTCGAGCTGTAACATATTTGAGTATTGCCTTGGAAGGGACGTTGATCCTGAAATTGAACTCTCTTCGGCCGTGTCGGACTATGAGGGTGAGGGAATAGAGAGATCACATATGCTTACGCGTACACTCGGGTACTATAATCCTGTCCTGTGCAGATGGCTAGTCTCCGTTGATTCTGGCCGCGCTGATCGAAATTCGGTCTGTAGGATATTATTAGTTAGAACATTTATATATATTTCTGTTGGGCAGACACCTATTATTTCCGATAGGGCTATGAATTGCACCTATTAAAAAAACATGATCAACATGAAACAATTCCATTAAAAATTTAATTCTAGGCAGTGGAGATCGGACTAATTCCTTGTGCATGATTTAACTGCAGCAAGCGCTTATTGCCTGAGCTACCGTGGATTTTATATTAGTGAGTTATAAGTTCACTACTCAGAATTTTTATGGAAAACAACCTGGAAGTAAATATGTACAACCGTAAATGTTGGCCTAAAAATAAATGTTAACCTTAAAAAGCCTTACACTAGGACCATCTTGTTGTGTGTCCCGACAAGGTCGTGCACGACGCACGATGTACAACGACAATGAGTAGTCTTTAACGTACGTCATTAAATATTAATATAGCTGCAGTATGGTTCTTCCACGGAAGATAAAACGAGTCTCCGATTCTCTACACACGGACCATCTTGCTGTACGTCCCGCCAAGTTCGTAAACGAGCCACAATTTAAACTACAATCAGTAGACTTGATATACGCCATTAATTATAAAATAGCTGCAACTTGGTTCTACAACGTACAGTAAAAAGGTCTCCGGTTGTCTCTACACACGGATCATCTTGTTGTACGCAAAGGTTAGGTGCACAATACACGATGAAAAACGACACTACGTATTTTTTTGACACTTGATGGTAAGTGGATTGCTGTGGCCTATAGACATCTACATCTATCCTCGATTAAAAATCAAAAGGCAGATGCGTTGTAATCCATGAGGACTAAGATGGAATTTCTCGTTACCAGTAAAAAGGGTCTCCGGTTCATACGAACACAGCAGCTTAATTCTGGTATTTTATGCTGCTATACTGGGAGAGCGTGGTCCTTCCCCGGTCCAGCCGACCCATTCGTGCTACAATTATGATATACCTAACAGCAGCATGACTCTACCATGTAAATATCTTTGAGTCTCATGTAAGTTGTTACATTACTATGGTCATGATCGTAACGGGGCTAAGTTTAACTTGATGTTTTTATTTTTATAGGGTAAGGGTGACAAACGAGCACACAGCCCGCCTGGGGGTAAGTGGTTGCTGTGGCTCATAGACATTTACATCTATCTTCGATTACGAATCAAAATTCAGATACGTTGTGACCCGTGAGGACTAAGCTGTAATGCCTCGTTTCCAGTAAAAAGGGTCTCCGGTTCTCTACACTCACCATACGAAACACAGCGGCGTTAAGCTGCTATTTTACGCTGGTCTTCTGTGAGAACGTGGTCCTTCCCCGGTCGAGCCGACCCATTCGTGCTACAACTATACCAGTAATATAGCTGCTGCATGTCTTTACCACGTATAAAAAATTAAAATTATCTATGTCTTCCTTGCCAGACGAACTACGCCACCATGACCGATATGGAGGCCCACGCGGAATTGTGCTATGCCGAGTCGGGTTTGCTCCAAGCGGCCCTTTGCATATTAGACGGGGATGATATAGCTGGGTTTTTGCGTGGCACTATCAAGGTCAAGGGCTGCTACAGCACCTACAAGTGAGTTGATGTATTTGGTAATGTAAAACCGCTAGGACAAACCGTGTGAAAAATTAGTCACCTAAGATCTGCGTAAAAAAATAAACTCATGTGTCTTACCTAGTTTGACGAGCACCTACCCTCAATTAAGTGCACTATCTCCGTCGCCACTAATCCCCCCAGCATCACTACTCTCAACACCACTACACTAGGAAAGACACACCGCTGTCAATAATATGACATGTGTTTTGCCTCTAAACAAGGCATCGTCAGGTGTAACTGTACTGGAGTAAGTGAAGTAACTGACGTAAGTCATTGAGTTATATGTACTACGTCGTAGAGAAGCCATTCTAAACAAAAACTGTGCCCTACTCTATGTCTTCGTGCATGCGCGGGAGATATTAGAGTCGCGTATGCGCAGTTCATTTAATCGCGTTGCGCCTTCGCGGTCAGTTTTTAATTTAAACTTTAATTTGAAATCATGTATTATTAGCACCGCTCCACACGGCATGTATATTGAAACCACAGACTAACAAGTAGATTGAAACCACACTAAATGACACACTGTACGGATTGCAGTGCAGTTCAGTTGAACATAGTGTATGTTCGGAATGCGAAATCTAGTACGTAGTACATATATATCGATGACGTAGGTGAAGTACTTTACCTGTTTCTCACAATAATTTTTCAACATCTTTAACTATGAGAAATGTTGGAAATTTCTTACAGGTTCCGTCTGATACATATTTAACCATTTCGATAATGTCAGACGTAAAACACTCAGTTCGGCAAGCTGGACCACAGGTGCTCACATCTAATACTGCCTCCCTACAGCAGGAAAAGCCAATTTCTCTCAGTGGACTTTCTAGGGCTGATGATGATAATGAAGTACACTGTATGTTAACTGTATTGATATGGAAATCATTTATGTAATTCATAATCATTTATTTGCTTAGAATGTAGGAGTTACAAAGTAATTATTAAAACATAAGTTCCATTACAGGCTTGCAAATCTTCTAATGTAATATATACAAAATAAGTTTTTAATGGTTCCTAATATATGCGATGCCACACCGTTCAACAGATTGCGCTAAAACTGTCACTTTATTGCTTGCACTTGTGCGAATGTTATAGACATAGTACAATTAACTTACAGTAGGTGGCGCGGCGTATCGTACCGACAAATTTATTTGAAAGTAATATATCATTCTATTTCAGTGAATGTATTATCACTACTAATTAAAAAATATAACTCTTCCAAATTTAAAACGATGTTTTCCTTACTATTTCTTTGGCAGCAACGCGCCGCGTACCACCAGCAAGTTTTTTTTAAATTTATATTTGGTGAATGTTATTTTTAAATATAATATAAATGCGACAAGAATAATAAAATAAATGTCAAAAGATTAAGTAGGAAAAACAATGTCACACAATAATTTAAAATTTAACGTAGTCACGATATAAATTTTCTAATGTAAATACAAAAAACCGGCCAAGTGCGAGTTGGACTCGCGCACCTAGGGTTCCGAACAAATCCGTAGGTATATATAAGTTTTAAATTATTAAAAATATTTTTATTATATGATGTAATTAAAAATTTATGCTTTTCGCAATTTTTCCTTTATCTGTGCTATAATACGTTGCTTCGTACCAAATTTTAAGATTCTGAGTTCACGGGAAGTATCATAATAATATAGATATAATAAGAATGTCGAAAATTTGCGGCATAAACGGCTGTCATCTCAACTCAGTCACATCTTGTGATTGCGTTGGCTTTGAAGTGTGATTTTTTCACAGCTCCAAGGGACAGTAGACTTGAGTATTTGATATGAATTTCAGCTTGATACCTCTACGTGTTCCTGAGAAAAAGGGTCTTGACAGACAGACGGACGGACAACAAAGTGATCCTATAAGGGTTCCGTTTTTTTCTTTTGAGGTACGGAACCCTAAAAAACACAAACAATACTAAATGTAATTCTGATTTTACCAGGGAGTGCGCCCGTATTTTGGAAAAAAAGAAGTGGGAGACTGCGGAGTCGCGTCAACACTTCCAAAGCGGCGTACGTCTCGGTCTGGCCACGTTCAGTCTAATGATAGCCATGTTGCCGCCTCGCCTCGTGACTTTGCTAGAGTTTGTGGGATTCTCTGGAGACAAGGTGAGGAATGCTTTTAATCGTCTCTTATAAATGAAACTAGTTTTTACGCATTTGTTCGCGTATATTAACTTATTTTATATTCCCGACGTTTCGAGTACTTTACATTACATGTTTTGAGTATTTACAGCGAAATGTCTGTAATATAAAATAAGTTAATATACAGTAACAGCTAGTTTTATTTAACCGCTCAGATCCCGATATTGTATTGGGCCAACCTAGACCGTCAGACCTATGGCCAGGCCAAGGACAATATTTTTTTAAATTAAGGTAAATATAACGTTGAGTAGAGTTTATTTTGGATAAATAAAGAGTTAAATAAAAAAAATCATCAACAGTTAAAGTATCGAATTATTTGTAGGAAGGTCAAGTGAGCGCTAGAGAAACGACGACGTTGTCGATAAATATCTTTTTTTTTGAGTAATTGTCAATTACCGTGTAGTGGCGGTGTATGAATATCTATATAATCCCGTGGGTGTAGTAAGTGCCGACTAGACTTGGGGAAAAGTGTTATTTTTAAATAACCGTGACTGTCGTTCCAGTTCCATAAAAATAACAGTGAAAAATCACTGTGACTTTGTCAGTTCGGTTACTTATTACACGTGGACAAAAACTCGTCGTGCCGACCTATTCTTACTACAACTAAGATATAGTTGCGGTATGACTCTACCACGTAAACGACTTGAGATAAGTCATTTAAGTCAAATAACTTGGGATGCGGGCAGGAAGATGCTGAAGAGAGAGGTTGATATGCATTGCTCACGACCTGATTTTAAAGATGACGATGTAATTACTCGTCATTTTTTCTGTGTAACAGAACGCTGGTCTGGCTGAACTGCAGGCTGGTGCTCGCGAGCCTGGTCTTCGCGGAGTACTTTGCGAACTGACCTTACTCGGGTACCATCTAGTAGTGAGCCACTTCGCCGGCGCCATACCGGACTTCGATCATTGCCAGCGTATTCTCGAGACTCAACTGAAGGTAGGTCAGAAAATAACATTGTTTTTTGGCTAAAGATCCAAGACATCTTAAAGAGAGAAGCTATAAAGACACAGTTTTCGTAGGCCTAGCACAATACAAGTTTATTAACTTCCTTCTGCGTAGCATTGAAAGGAAGTTAATGGTTTTAGCTGGCAGTCTGTTAGTCTGTATGCCGACACGATAACTTCCGTTCCACAGGACCGATTGACTTTAGATTTGGTATGTGGATACCTTGAGGTAGTAGCTCGGTCGAGTTTGAATTTGGGTCCTGTAGGTCAAAGGGCACCAGAGATATGGGATTCACGCAGAAGGAAGTTGTTTTTCTTGAATTTACATTCAACTCATTTATTGGTAAATTAACCTACCGAATAGTATGTAATATGTTAAAAATATTACCAGGTATACCCAGAAGGTGTCTGGTTCCTGCTGTTTGAAGGACGCTTGCAGCTACTTCGCGGGCGCTGCGCCCTTGCAGCGACCACCTATAAGCGTGCGGCTGACATCCCCCATCTGTGGAAGCAGCTTCGACATCTTTGCTACTGGGAGCTCATGTGGGCCAACGCGTACGTACTAAGCTTATCAGCAACTATTGTGTGGGTTAAGGCACCAGTACAATATTCTAACAACAAGCACTGTTTCTTCAAATCTTTTGTTTTTAATCTACGAAAATATAATGCTTCCTGATTTTGAAATTACCAAATAAGATTTGTTCATATAATAAAATACAACATGAACAAATTTAAAATTGCAGTTGTATGAATAAAATAGTTTAATAGTTTTACTTTTATATTTAGTTCGGTTATAACTTATTTGATGGAGAATTTATTAATTTACGATAGCAACCTAATAAATTGCCATAGCCTTTTACCCATCAATTCTGTTTTTAAATGAATTAAAAAAAATTATAATCTTTCAATTTCCTTTAAATGAATTAATTTATGAAGGGTATGAATTATTAATAATTATATTAATAGCAGAAATAAAATTTCAACACGTCTAATGCTACTCCCCCAGGGCTACATGTTAAGACCATTAAAAATAGGTCTCGAGGACCAAACATAATTGTTGTTTGATTTCTTTTTTTTCTGCATATCGAACTTTTATTTGTTACTCCATTTAAATATATACTATAATGCAATTTACGTACTTTACGTTAAGATTTTGTACTTTACGTTAAAAAATTGTCTAGAAAATTTTATGTTGTGGCCAGATTGCAAACCTATCATCTCAATCTCAAACCTGAAATGATCGGTTATCGTAAAGAGCAAGCTTATTGGCCTACTCTTGCATTTTCTTCTTTACCAGATCATAACAATACATTGCTCCACACACTAAGACTATACTAGAGACTGGTTTGAAACTCGCGACTTTTTACGTTCGCATAGCAATCGCCTAATTAAATATATTTTTTTAAGTATCATTGCATGCCCTGGTCGCACAAAATAATGCACGAGGAATATCGTACAATACGTAAACCTAAATTTATGACAATTTTGACAACCCATAGTTAACAGTTTTAATTTTAAGTGGTAGAGGTACGCTACATGTATAATAGTTGTAGCACGAATGGGTTGGTTCGACCAGGGATAGACTACGCTCTCACGGAATACCAGCATGAAGTTACCACTATACGAAACAGCATGTTACTGGAGGCAGTTTTTACTGGTAATGAGGCAATCCAGTTTAGTCGTTAGGGGTGACAACGCATTTGCACTTAGTTTCTTAACACATTCCCTGTGTTACCCACATATGGTTCATTGCAATTGTCTGAAAATCGAACAGTGTTAATAATAAAGTTGACTGTGGGCTCGTTTGACACCCTTACTTTTATAAATACTTTTTTTAATTATTTAATTTGACGGCTCCTTGGCTCAGTGCCTTAGCAATGACTTGCAGTGCTAAGGGCCGCGGGTTCGTATCCCGCACGGAACAAGTATTTGTATGGCCTACAAATAATTGTTCCGGGTCTGGATTTTTGTCCTTGTGAAATTTATGTATGGAAATTGCCCCCACGACACAGAAGAAAATCCTAGTGTGGAAGTAACGTTTAAAAAAAATAACCGCCACTCAGATCTTCCACGTATGTGTGCGGAAGCTTATTCTTGTGTATAATTTTTGTGTTTTTTTTCCGTTTAGCACGATTAAAGATTTAATTTGTGACCATTTTGCGTAGCATGATGATGGACTGGCGCGAGGCGGCCGGATTCGCGGGGCGTCTCATCGAAGAGAGTTCTTGGTCTCGTACCGTGTACTCTTACGCCAGAGCGGCTTTGCTCCTACAACTGGGGGATAAAGCCACAAAAATTGAGCGCCGCCAGGCCGCAGAGTTGCTCAAGTAAGCACCGCGAACTTGTTATACACGAAGGAAAAAACAAATACATTTAATATTGAAGATATATAATTTCACATCTAAACAGAGAAAATGTCAAATTGTTTTTTAGGCTTTGAAAAATAAACAGTAGTTAGGACGTTAGTTTGATTCGACATGTAAGAATTGTTACATTTAATGGTCTTCTTTAATTGTAAGATATGTTACATAATACTCTTATTTATTTAAAATAAATGAACACTACTTAGAAGACTTTACATTATAAAATATTCAAGGAACGCTTTAGAAGTAAATACAATATATATTCTAAAATAAATGATGTATGCAAACCAACAGCAACATAACACATCACAATGCAACATAGGCCGGCCTCACTGCAACGTCACCTTCTTTGCTGTTATTAAAAGTATTACCACGATGGAGAGAATGACACCAACAATTGACACTCGTTGAATGACTCAAGCTAGGTTCTCACTGCGAAAACCTAAGTGCCTACCCACTTAACACTACCTGTGAGACTGGCATTAGCTTGTGTGGCCTTTCTGCCAAATCGGAAGCAATTCCCTTTAGGGAAAAGGGGGCGCAGGCGGCGAGGAACCGCTGAGAGGGGAGCCGAACTAAGGCAAATTAAGAAGAGTCGGTCTGAGCTGCCAGGAGGCGGTTTAGGTCGGCCGAAAGCTTGTTTGGGGGGTCCGAGAGAGAGTTGCTCGGTCTCCGGACTCGAGAGAGAGAGAGAGAAGTGGGGCTGCGTAGGAAGCTGCCTAACGAATGAGATGAGCGGGGAGCTCTATGTCTCGGTGGAGGTCGGCGTTACGGACGTATCAGGGTGCGTTCGTAGCCACACGACAGAAGTGGTTTTGAACTATTTGAAGTTCGTTAAGGATTTTGGGTTTAGCGTGAGCAAATATGGGGCCCGAGTAATTCATAACTGGTCGTTCAAGCTAGTTGACTGCGCAGTTCTTTATACTGCTTTTACGAATGGGGGAGTTTAACTGCTTATTAGTAATCTACCCTCACTCTTAACAGATACTATGTTTATTCAAAAGATTTTATGCTTATCACAGATTTATAGCACGAATGGGTCGGCTTGACCGGGGAAGAACGACTCTCCCACAGAATACCAGCGTAAAATATCAGCTTAATACTGCTGTGTTTCGTATGGTGAGTGTAGAGAACCGGAGACCCTTTGTTACTATAATTGTGGCATTCAATCTTAGTCCTCAAGGATGACAACGCATCTGCATTTTGATTATTTTGATTATAGTCATTGGGTATATATATATATATAGAGATATATACATAGAGTTTGGTACATCTTAGGTTTAACCTAAGATGTACCAAACTCTAACAGTAAAAACCCGAAAACATGTCCCATTTTTTTATATCAATCCTGCACTACTGCTACATTTACCGGCTCATGTTGTTACTAATCCTAGGATTTAAAAGTAAAAAAATTTTACAGTGATATATAATATAACTAAAGACAATTCGGCAAGAATGGATAAAGAAACACGGTTCCTTAACTCATTGCAAATTCCGGACCGGTGCTAATTATTTTCGCTGTTAGATGGCTCGCCCGCGCGGCCTCTCGCTTCACAACATCTGCGAGCCTCGCACGCGACAAACGACTACCATCACACAGATAGCGATGTTAAAGCAACTACAGTCGCTATTGCGAGACGTTTTCATGATATTTGTTAACCCTCGCTGAAAAGGCTTTACTATTCTGAATTGGTTCGATATTAACTGATGTTTTTTTTATACGAGTGGTGAAAAACGAGTACACAGTTCACCTGATGGTATGTGGATGCTGTGAACTATAGACATCTATATTTATCACCAATTAAGACTCAAAATGCAGATGCGTTGTCACCCCTAAGGACTAAGATGGAATGACTCGTTTTCAGTAAAAAGCGTTTCTGGTTCTCTACACTCATCATACAAAACGTAGCAGAATTAAGCTGCTATTTCACGCTGGTTTAATTCTGTGAGAGCGTGGTAATTTCCCGGTCAAGCCGTATCATTTGTGCTACAACCATAACATAGCTGCAATGTAACTCTACTACGTATAAAACTCTACTTGTGTTCAAGTCGCTCCTGTCGACCTCAGGAAGATGTTTTGGTTTCCTTCTTAACCGGTTTCGTTTTCCAGAGCCGCTCCCCTGTATCGTCAAAGAATCGCCGGGAAATCCCTTCCCATGGAGAAGTGGGTAGTTCGTCGCTGTGCCCGTTTCGAAGCCCAAGGCGGTCGGCTGCTCTTACCAGCTGTCGAGTTGCTCTGCCTTTGGAATATGCTATCCGCCCTATCAAGCGATTCGCGCACCGTACATTGCCTGCTCAAGGTACTGTTTAAGGCCGGCCACATACATACGGAATTCCGTTTCGAGATTCCGTTTCGATATTCCGATTCGGAATCCCGAACGCAGCAAGTCCATATAAAATCTATGACCCGCCACACACGTACGGTAGTTTTCCGTTCGATATTTTGCGGGCAAAACGGGATTCCGTTTGTGTGTGGCTGACCGTTCGAAATTCCGAAACGGAATCTCGAAACGGAATTCCGTATGTATAGAGCGGGCCTAAGATTGACCGTCAGTAGAACCGAGAAATGGTTTTCACGCGAAACTTCTTCTAGGAAACACTAACCAGATGCTCGTTTATGTGCAGCAAATCGAAGCGACCACCGACCGACTTGACCGGGAACATAATCAGTGGCCTAGGAGCTTGGATGGAGACAATAGAGCTTTGCTGGCCTACCTTCGGGGTTGTTGTCTGGCTGTCCTTGGAGTGCCGAGACTGGCTTTGTTCCATTTGGATCATGTTGCCAGGTGAGCAAAGATAGGGAAGAGAGAGAGAGAGAGAGGGAGAGAGAGAGGGAGAGAGAGAGGGAGAGAGAGGGTGAGTGAGAGAGGGAGAGAGAGAGAGATATTTAAATAGCTGTTGCGTGGCTACACTCAGGGTTTACACTATTTGTATCACGTCTCTAGAAATAGATATAGATATAGGAAAAATAGGCTATTTCATAAAATTCATTTAAGAAAATATTACACAATCTTTCACTTAAGGCCCTAAATTATAGTTACTTTAGTATAACAGTAGACCGTATGTAGGAGTAGATACATACAGATTAAGAAAACAGTGAGTCAGTGCAATTGCACGGTAAAGATGTATTGACAGTGAATTACATATGCAAATATTAAGTTTAATGGATAAAAATGAAATTTAAATAGTCATTAATAATTTTATGAACTGTATTTTCGGACACTCTACATTCACTTGCTGTTTTAGTAGAGTTATCTCCACAGTTACATTTAACTCATTTATTTTAATGTACTTAAACACACTGTAAATTAGTCATCTTACTCCGCAATGAAATAATATCGATCCATTCTTACGAATAGTATAGATTACGAATAGGTATTCATTTTTTAAATTGAATGCAGGCAACGCACAAAGAACAACTGTTTCGTACGAAAGTCGACCTTCAACTGGTCAGAGTGAACCTGATTTTCAAATTTTTTTGCGATTTGATTGGTTGGTGGGCGTGGATTGTATTGTGGGCACTGTATTCATAACGCGAATGTACTATAACATTTAAATTCATTTATTTAGAATAAAGGAAAAGATAAAGGAGGATACTTTCCTGATTCCTTACGCGTTGGTGGAGGCGGCCATGTGTCATCACGCGCTTGGAGAAGTCGATACAGCTCAACGAATGCTGCAAGATGCCAGGTGAGCCAGTAACATATTTTGTATCGTAATAAAAAAAATCCTAGTACAGTTTTCTTTACTTTCCGGTACGAGGCTGAAACTCGAGACCTTTCTTTCCCATCGGTTGTCAGTCCTTCGAGCTATATGGCCGTCCCATTGCCAGATCAGCTCACTGTTCCGCTGGGCTATGTCGGCTACTCTGATTGAACCTGCAGAAATCAGTATAATTAATCATATCGCCATCAAGTGGCAACGTAAGAAAATAAACTACGCCATATCATCCCGTGGGTGTCGTGAGACTCGACAGAGGGAAACAGTAAATCAGGAGATGGGCAGCAGCGTCTTCCTAATAACGACTAAAAATAACATAACTGCTGTTGCCAACCCGCTTGCAACGCGTGGCAGCTGTGGCGTACATCCCCCTTATAAGGCAATCTACGGGGGAGGTTTATGTTCAGCAGTGGACTTTAATAGGCCGTAACGGTAACGGTAAGAGATGGGCACTTGCCAATCTACCCATCGTGACAACTGTGGAAAATCTCTACGAAACAATCTATGGGGAGTCCTGCAGTGGACTTTTGATTGATTTTAATAAATGAATAGATTCAATGAAGCAGAGTAACTGAACATAGCCGTCTCCATACCTTATGATCTAATTGAAGCAGTTTGCCAGCAGTTAAAGTTGGGTGTTTATAACTGTTCGACATGTATATGTCGTCGACAATCTGAAGCTATGAGATCTTTACAAATCGCTATCGCCTCTTACGCTATTGACACGAGATGAAACGTTATTTCCTTCTACTTAGTATTTGAACACTTACTCATCTTGGGTCGGCTCGACCGGGGAAGGACCACACTCTCACAGAATACCAGCGTAAAATAGCAGCTCAATGTTGCTGTGTTTCGTATGGTGAGTGTAGAGAACCGTAGACCATATTTACTGGAAAAGAGGCAACACATCATAATCCTCAGGGGTGACAACGCGTCTACGCGAGCATTACGGACTCCGGTTCCTGTCTGCATGCGTAGTTCATATTATATAGTAGGCTATTCAAATTATATAACATCCTAATTGCAATGGTGAAGATGTCTGAATGCTTCCATCGCATTAGGATCTCATAACTATTAAAATTAAATCCAAACCCAAGCATACCACTGCAAAACTCCAAGATATGAGATAGCTTGTTCTGCGTACATAGAACCAAACATTAATGTTTTATAGCTGAAGTTAGCCCGAACTTACTATGAACCTTACCTGACAATGGGTACCGTAAAGCGTTTGTTGTTTTGTGTTTCTTTATAGGAAACGCTACTGCAACTACTCTCTGGAGTCCCGTCTGCTGTTTCGTATCCACTCGAAGCTGCAGATCGTTCGAGATGCTGCCGCTTCTGGTGGGGGCTCTGGGAACCCGCCCCGATCCATTCCTTTGCGTCCGGCTGGGAGGGCGGAGCACGCCGCTTGAATGCTACGACCAACCCTGCGCTAAATTTCTCTTTAGACGCATTTAGGCGTGTATATCGGGCGTGGCTGGTCTGCATATAAGTCATGAGGCTTTTTTGTATCATTTATTAGTTTTCAACCCCTCCCCCTCACAACTTAATCAGCTACTGTTTAAGTTATTTTGCGGGTAGATTTGAATAGTTAGTCTGTGTAAGCAAACAACATTTTTCATTTTTGGTTTAATCGTCTTTTATTGTAAGGGTTGTTTTAAATTTCGTTCTCGTAAAGGAGAAGGAGACGTCTCCCATACATTCTTAGGCACAGGTGTTAACAAAATGAAAGTCGGACTATTTGAAAACTTATATATAAACAATTCATAGCTTAATGTCATTCAAAGTAAATAATATTATAATTTTAATGACACCTTGAAAGCTTTTTAATTTAAATTTTTTTGCATCAGAATAAGTACAAAATCGTTTGCATCAATACAATCGATTTTCTAACTTATTTCTTATTTTATTGTTTTTTCGAAATCTAGATTGTAATAAGATTTTTAACTTTAGGTCCAAAAATCCTATTCTCCTTTGTTTTTCTTTTTATGTTTTTAGAGTGAAAACTTCTTTAGAATCGTTGTGATTTGGGACACTAAAAACAGATAAACAAACTATCGGTAAATCCAATTGTGCATGCCCTAAGCGCATAAAAAATTACTTATACCATGACGTAAAGGGGAATGCCCACCGTTCATAGACACTTCGGCCATGGGTGCCCACATATAAAAGCATATGAAAATGATAATATGCGATTAAAAGAAATAGTTAAGGAATTGGTTTAAAAAAAGGACGGATGTTTAAGATATAAGGTTTTTTATTATCACAAGAACAGTTTTTTTTTAACAACAAATGACTTTGTATTTTCGTGATATTTAAACCACAATTAACACAGCGTAAATGTCCTCTTGAATGAGTTACTGAGAGCTTGGAAGAACTCTGGCCGGTGTGAAAACTGGGGTCATCGTTAACAGTGGATATCGAGTCCAAGTTCGTGCAGAGGTTATCGTAAGAAGTGGGAGCGGGATCCATTTTCAGGCCGTGGTCAGTAGGGTGAGAAGAATTATCGGAGTCCATTAAGAAAGCTTATTCGTTGCTAAGATAACAAATCCACGAGAAAACAAACAAACTAACACAAATGCAAAGGATTTCGACTTGTGACTATTTAGTTTTGATAATTATGACATGGGCCTAGCTGTCAGATTTGATGTCGCCAATTAACAGACATAAAATCGATAAATAGATAGCGATTTTTTTATTCGATTTATAATTTCATAAAAAAGAATAATCTCTGATTCGCTTTAAATTCTGCACGCGTTTTAAAATATGTTTTATTTATTTATTTAAATTCCATTTTAAATGTATTTTTAAGAACAGATAAGAATAACAGTTAAATTGTGCAGTAGCGTTTTTGTTATGTTCTAAAGAGTTCATGGCAAATCAACTAGCAATTCGTTTGTTTAATTATCATCACATCATAATAATTATCGAAAAATAATATTACCATTATAATAATAACACCATAAAAAATCGATTGCAAAAACAGAATCGACTTTTTTAACGAGATTTGTGATTGGCAACACTTTTTATTTTACCCACAAACTAATGATTTGCAGATTTAACGTAACGTTTTCGTTACTTTTTTTTTGTGTAAAAATATTGTAATCTTTTTTTGATACAACAGTCAACAGTGGTAGAGCCACGCGGCAGCTTTTGCTGTCGCACGGAAGGGCCAGCTCGAACCGGGGTGGTACCACGACCTCACAGAAAACCAGCGTGAAGTAGAGGTTTACCTCTGCGTTTCACTTGGTGAGTGCAGGTGGCCGGAGGCCCTTTTTATTGGAAATGAGGCATTCCATCTTAGTCCTCACGGGTGACAACGCATCTACATTTTGATTTGTAACAGAGGATAGATGTAGATGTCTATGGGCCGCAGCAACCACTTACCATCAGGTGGACTGTGTGCTCGTTTGTCACCCTTATCCAATAAAAAAAATACATAAATACCGCGATTAATTACCATAAAAAAAGATGTATTTTTTTTTAACAAATGCAAATTGTTGGGCGTTTCATGGCCAGAATTGGGCATTCCCCTTTTTAAAATAGTTTAAGTACACACAAGTTTTCAATAATAAACTTATTATTATACTTCAAATTTTCCAACGATTTTATGTCAAACTTTAATTTCAAAAAATGGAATATCCAAAAGTTTACGACTCAGAATGCTCATACGATCATCATATCATCATTGAGGTCACTCCATAAAGTCCGACACGTATTTAAATATATTTATATGTACTTACTTTTAGTACATACGTAGTACTATTATTTATTATGTGTTTTTAAAATATTGTAATAAAAATCTGTGATTAAAATAATCAATTATGTATCAACATCAATGGCGAGTACATCACTCACCTTCGATTTGCCGACGATATAGTCCTTATGGCAGAATCGCTGGAGGACCTAAGCACTATGCTCAATGACCTCAATAGTGTTTCCCAACGGATAGGTCTTAAGATGAACATGGACAAAACAAAGATCATGTTTAATGTCCATGTCACACCTATGCCGGTAGTTGTTGGGAGCACTAAGCTCGAAGTTGTTGACGAGTATGTTTACCTGGGACAAATAGTCCGACTAGGTAAGTCCAACTTCGACAGAGAGGTCAATAGACGGATTCAACTCGGCTGGGCAGCGTTCGGGAAGCTACGACACATCTTCTCGTCAGACATACCTCAAAACCTTAAAACGAAATTGTACAACCAGTGCGTGTTGCCAGTGATGACTTACGGAACTGAGACGTGGTCCTTCACTGCTGGCCGTATGAGGAAGCTCAAGGTCGCTCAGCGAGCTATGGAGAGGGCTATGCTCGGAGTTTCTCTGCGTGATAAACTTAGGAATGAGGATATCCGCAGTAGAACTAGAGTGACCGACATAGCCCAACGGATTAGTAAGCTGAAGTGGCAGTGGGCCGGCCATATAGCTCGAAGAACCGACAACCGATGGGGAAGAAAGGTTCTCGAGTGGCAGCCTCGTACCGGTAGGCGAAGTGTAGGGCGTCCCCCCACGAGATGGAGTGACGACCTGGTAAGACATGCAGGAAGTCGATGGATGCAGGTGGCTCAGGACCGTGCTTTGTGGCATTCTTTGGGGGAGGCCTATGTTCAGCAGTGGACTTGTGAAGGGCTGTAATGATGATGATGATGATGTATCAAATTTGGTCTATCGGGTATTTTGTATTTGTACAGCGATCTTTTTGAGCACGAACCGTTGCAAACAACCGATACAGTATCCACTCATGACGGCGGCTGAGGCCGAAGTGAGCGAGTGAGGCAGTCTATTTAGTAAAATAAATTATTACAAAGCTGCTCAAAACACCGAAAATTTCGAGATTTCTCAGCCGAAAAAAATTAATTATAACTAAACAAAACAAAATTTAACTGTCATTTACATTCCATGGCTTCCCAAATGATAGATGAAGAGATTAAAAAAATATATTGAGTTGAAAAATTGATATTTTCATAACTTATCGTGTTTACCCCTTAATGCGACTTGATAAATGCCTACTCATACTTGATAAATCTACACGATAAGCCACTAAAACCATTTTTTTATGTAAAATGTTGTTATTGCTAATAAATCTATTAAAAAAAATTAATAAGTACAACAATAATTTAACTTTCTGACAATGTGCTTTTTATATCATTATATGTATGGTTGTTAGATAGGATTTTATGGGATAACACAAACAGAAACAGAGTGAATGAGATAGAATACATTATACAGTGTTTCCTATTATGTCTCTTTTTCTTAAGGTTTACCTTCTACTGTGTGTAAACTGCATACATGTTTTTTATATCAATGCTCCGGTCACGCCCATCGCCGCGAATGGCAGTTTAATTATTGAATATATTGTTTATTCAATAATTAAATTTGTATGTGTATGTTTATATTAAATATGCTAGAAATGTATAACTCGAGTTGTATTTAATCACGCTTAATTATATACCTAACATTATGCTAAATAATTACAGTGCTAAGTTAATGTTACGGTTGGAAGAAACACGAGGAATAAACATAGATTAATATAAAAGCCAACAAACTACTTAATTAAGGAACCGTATTATTGATACATTGAACAATTATCACAAGACAGTCACGAAACGTCATTAAAATATGTATGTATAAATGTATAATATAAAAATAGGAAAAGTATGTATATATAATAGTGTAAAAATTAAAATAAACTGTTTTTTTGTTTTTTTTTTCGGTCCGGATGTATCGAATGCTTTATGGCTTAGATTTTCCCGGACCGTTGGCATCACGTTGTGCCTACCCACACGCCGTTATCAGGTCATTATATAAAGTGGATCATGCTAAGTCAAATATTAGATTATTAATATAAATATAATAAATAGTGACGATATATATTTTTATATGTATTCATGTGCATGTGTGTGTTACCTACATTTATATGTAAGTTGTTTATTGTATAACTATATCTGTCTTAAAACAAAAGTGGTTCATAGATAATCTCGGATTTAAACTGAGGTTTAAGTCACGTAAGTCTCTAAGTTGTGACGTCACAATTTTCTCGAAATTTGCCGTTTGCTATCAAATTTCATAATTTACATTTTAGTGCACATGTTTTTCACGGGACTTCTTTATGGAATCAAACTACTTTAAATTCGAGATTAATGACCGTTTTCCTACGCCTTTTTCGCTACCAGGGCGGCGCCACTTATAAATGAGGTGAATATTTGACAGATTTTTCATAGCGGGGCAAGGTAATTTGTTAGAAAGGTGTAGGGATTAATGTTTCTTTCTGAAATATTACTTATATTTTATACTATTTAGGTTAGAAATGGATAAACCACACTAAGGCTATTCTGAAAAGTAGAAGAAGAAAAGTTTAAAATGTGTAAAAAAATAAAGAATACAGCTCTAAGGTATTATTTTCTGTATGCACTTATAATTAAAAAAAAAAAACTTCTAATAAAATTGAAACTTTTTTACATTGATGATGACACTGTGTTACCACCATCTGTGAAACAAATATTTTCACAGATGGTCACACAGTGTCATCCCGGTAGTATTAGTCCTATCTAGTAACATCTAGTGAGCGTAAGATTATTATCCCTCATTGTGTAATACTTTTGTAAAAAGGCGGTACCTTAATAGACTCTGATTTGAAGAATAGTCTTCGTCACGAAAGAGGTCCCTTAGCCGCGGTCGTTTTCACATTTGCTGTATGATTCCATAATCTATATTGTATATCGCATAGTTTACGCGGGACTTCTTAATTGGAACTTACTCTAGTTTAAACTTAATACTAATAATAAACTACATTTTGTAATATAAGACCAAGTATGCGATTATTTTTCAATCGGTATTGTTAGCGCGATTTCGGATCACTATTTAAGTAACATAAAATATGTAGGTTAGATTATATAGATCGCTACGGTTATTCAGTGCCGGCCATTTTGTCTGATACAAAAACAGATGGGAAACCGCTCTCTAAATGATAGAATAAATTTAATCTATATTATAATATTTAATCACTTTATAAGCCATTGATGGAACTCAATTTATCAGCCCGTAGCTTACATTTCATTCGTTCATTGCCTTCCAAATGTCCTCTACCTACTCAACCGTCCACGGTGACTACAGTCCCCAAAAAATTATTGCCTCACCTGTCCATGGTGACTATGTCACCAAACGACATCTTTCGGTTTAAAAGTGTACAGAGCAAAAGATAGGTGTTATTAATACAGTAAAAAATTATAGATGGTGCTATTATAAATTTGTCATCTGTGAGTGTGAATTTTATCTGTATAATAGTAACAAAATATTAACAAAAAAAAAAGTTAAAACTAAATTTCGCCATTTTTGTTTGTAGATTAGGATAGAAATGATTAAAATTTATTTTTATTTATTTATTTACTTATTTATTCTAATTTATATTGGGTAAACATTATATACTTATGTATATTGAGTATATAAGATATTATTGATATTGGTGTCATTTTAAAGGGAATATCATGTACTATTATAATATAAAATAATATTTTTTTTTTACATAAAACACTGCTATTAAACATTACTAATATTCCCTTTAACTACTTCTGTTAAGCTTAAAATGCTTGTGTTAGAAGTGGTTCACGACAGTAGTCGAATGGCGGATTCGAACCCACGACCTTTCGAGTTCGCGGTCCGCGCCCTGCCATTTGGCTACTGACACTTCGCTTATAAAATAATTGTCCCCAGTAAGTATTATACTTCTCTTGTAAAAGTCGAAATAAAAAAATAAATACGATTTTTTTATATTCCCATTTTTAAGCTTTATGTTTAGCCTTTATTTTTAATTTGAATAATTTTCCTTTAACAAAATTAAATTTTGAATTCTTTGAGTCTTTTGAGAATATTTTTTATTTAAATGTAGCTATGGTAGTTTTTCTGTAGTAATCGTTTTTGTTTAGACAGTGTCGCGCGGTCGTAAAAAATAGTGACATTTAATGCGTGGACAGGTGAGGCGAGAATCACTCGCGCGGGGTGGACGGTTAAGTGGTTGAACATAGGCCTGCTCCATAGATTATATAGGCCTCACGGCATAAAATGTGGCAGAACATTCTCTTACACCCGCTACAGGGCGTAGCTCATATTACAATTCTTTTACTGTTGAAATACATTCTAATCGTCAAACCAACAGAAAGGGACATAGCTATACGGATAAATGAGACAAAATGTCAGCTGTTCTGTCCCTCTCCGTTTTATTTTATGTGTGTGTTCTGACAAGTTGGTATATTGAATGGTATTTTCAGCTTATTGAAATGTATGTCTACGGGCCTACTTTAATATTAAATATTCTGTGTGATATTCTAGGATTAATATATATTATTATAAAAATATATTATTTGTATATTGCCAGCTCAGCTGCGCCATGGCATTTGATACTGACCCGTTACCCGAAATAATATATTGAATAGCACTTGAGTAGTAAATACTTTAGTAGTATATAGATATGCATATAGATAAGTCCTGCATATTTTCCGGGATTTTATTGTTTAAGTGGATACATTGCTTAGTGTAGGAATTACTGACTCTTTGGACTCGAGTTATTATATATCCCACTTATTAATAGGCCTAATATGGACGGTACACTTGTCTGTATACTCTAAACTGAATTATATGTGGAAATTCGCAAAGTTTTCGCGTTTCTGTATCGATATTTTATTGTATAAGTCGATACATTGCTTAGTGTAGGAATTACTGACTCTTTGGACTCGAGTTATTATATATCCCACTTATAATAATAGGCCTAATATGGACGGTACACTTGTATGTATACTCTAAACTGAATTATATGTGGAAATTCGCAAAGTTTTCGCGTTTCTGTATCGATATTTTATTGTATAAGTCGATACATTGCTTAGTGTAGGAATTACTGACTCTTTGGACTCGAGTTATTATATATCCCACTTATAATAATAGGCCTAATATGGACGGTACACTTGTCTGTATACTCTAAACTGAATTATATGTGGATATTCGCAAAGTTTTCGCGTTTCTGTATCGATATTTTATTGTATAAGTCGATACATTGCTTAGTGTAGGAATTACTGACTCTTTGGACTCGAGTTATTATATATCCCATTTATAATAATAGGCCTAATATGGACGGTACACTTGTCTGTATACTCTAAACTGAATTATATGTGGATATTCGCAAAGTTTTCGCGTTTCTGTATCGATATTTTATTGTATAAGTCGATACATTGCTTAGTGTAAGAATTACTGACCCTTTGGACTCGAGTTATTATATATCCCACTTATAATAATAGGCCTAATATGGACGGTACACTTGTCTGTATACTCTAAACTGAATTATATGTGGATATTCGCAAAGTTTTGCGTTTCTGTATCGATATTTTATTGTATAAGTCGATATATTGCTTAGTGTAAGAAATACTGACCCTTTGGACTCGAGTTATTATATATCCCACTTATAATAATAGGCCTAATATGGACGGTACACTTGTCTGTATACTCTAAACTGAATTATATGTGGATATTCGCAAAGTTTTGCGTTTCTGTATCGATATTTTATTGTATAAGTCGATACATTGCTTAGTGTAAGAAATACTGACCCTTTGGACTCGAGTTATTATATATCCCACTTATAATAATAGGCCTAATATGGACGGTACACTTGTCTGTATACTCTTAACTGAATTATATGTGGATATTCGCAGTTTTCGCGTTTCTGTATCGATATTTTAATGTATAAGTCGATACATTGCTTAGTGTAGGAATTACTGACTCTTTGGACTCGAGTTATTATATATCCCACTTATAATAATAGGCCTAATATGGACGGTACACTTGTCTGTATACTCTAAACTGAATTATATGTGGATATTCGCAAAGTTTTCGCGTTTCTGTATCGATATTTTAATGTATAAGTCGATACATTGCTTAGTGTAGGA